GTTACAATAAATGTAGATATTAACATGTTAAGGCAATCAAACCTCCCCAAGTTAGATCCATAAATTATCTGCAATTCCAATAAAAATTCCAGCTGGATTTTTTTTTTTTTTTGAGATGCAGTTTTGCTTGTTGCCCAGGATGAGAATAATGGCATGATCCTGGCTCACTGCATCCTCTGCCTTGCCTAGTTTAAGCAATTCTCCTGCCTCAGCTTCCCAAGTAGCTGGGATTACAGGTATGCGCCACCGTGTGCAGCTAATTTTATATATTTAGTAGACACGGGGTTTCACTATGTTGGTCAGGCTTGTCTCAAACTCCTGACCTCAAGTGATCCACCTGCCTCGGTGGTGGGGTTATAGGCAGGAGCCAGGTGGGCCTTTTTTTTTTTTTTTTTTCCAAAGTTACCATCTTGCTTCTCAAAGGTCTATGGAAGAATAAAAGTTCGCAAATAGCTAAGCCAATTTTGAAAAAGAACAAAGTGGGCTGGGTGCAGTGGTTGGCACCTGTAATCCCCACACTTTGGGAGGCAGAGGCGGGTAGATCAGTTGAGGTCAGAAATTCGAGAAAAGCCTGGCCAACATGGTGAAACCCCACCTCTACTAATAATACAAAAATTAGCTGAGTGTGGTGGTGTGTATCTGTAATCCCGGCTACTTGGGGAAGCTGAAGGGGGAGAAAAAAAAAAAAGCAAAGTGGGCTGGGCACAGTAGTTCACACCTGTAATCCCAGCACTTTGGGAGGCAGAGGTGGGTGAGTTGCTTGAGTCTAGGAGTTTGAGACTCGCCTGGGCAACATGGTGAAACTCTGGCTCTACAAAAAATAGCTTGGTGTGGTGGCACTCGCCTGTGGTTCCAGCTACTTAGGAGGCTGAGGTGGGAGGACTGCTTGAGCGCAGGAGGCAAAGATTGCAGTGAGCTAAGATTGTGCCACTAGCCTGGGCAACAGAGTGAGACCCTGTCTCCAAAAAAATAAGAAAAGAAAATAGAAAGAAAAACAGAGCAAAGTGATTCTCCTGCTTCAGCCTCCCAAGCAGCTGAGAGGAAACCTGCCATCTATGTATTAAGACATAATATTATAAAGTCACATAAATAACAGTCTGTTTCCAGATCACGCTGACACCAAGAGCACAGATTAGAAAGTCTGGAATAAATACAGCTGTCCTTCAATATCCACCAGGGATTGATTGCAGGAATGCTGCAGACACCAAAATCTATAGGTGCTCAAGTCCCTGATAAAAAATGGCATAGTGTTTGCATATAATCTATGCATATCCTCCCTTATAGTTTTTTAAATTTTTTTTTGGAGACAAGGTCTCGCTCTATTGCTGGAGTGTAGTGTCACAATCTTAGCAAAATCGGTCCTTCTCCAATAAAAAAAAAAAAAAAAAGGAAACATTTAGGCCTAAGAAAGTTCTCAGAACTGTAGGAAAAAAAATTACAAAATTACACTCTACATGCATTAATTCAACATTAATTCTATAGTACTACTACTGAAGCATCATATAGGAAAGATTACTAATAGTCTTAAAAATTGGTTTTATAAAGATGATACTGCTTAGCCGACACCTTGACCACATCGAACTGATCTCAAGCTTGCCTTTTCTTCCGGGGAATTTGTCTATTAGAAAATGCCAGCACCTCACAACACACAGTACCTTTCCAACTGATACAAGGACCTAGTTTTCTGTTTTGATCTTGTTCTTCTAACGGTGTCCTGTCTACCTGAATTCCAGAGTCCTCTCTGCTTAATGGCTGTTGATCATTTTCCTCGTCATTTTCTTCAGACCAATTCTGATTTAAAAAAGAAATACACTTTAGCCTTACAGAGTCTAACACTTAAAGCTATTTATATTAAAAGACTAAGAAGATTTTGAAGAAAAGCAAAAATTTTGAAGGAACATGGAACACAAAAACAAAAACCAAATGAATTTTTTTTTTCTAAATCTCTTGGAAGTGACTATTCTAGGAATGGAAATATAATTATTACTTTTTCTTTTTTTTCTATAACATTGAAACAATAAGGAATGGAATTATTTTACGTGGCAAAAAGTCCCAAGATCACAGGTCCTTAAGAGATACTTATACTCAACCCTTTTAACATCTTTTTTCTTTTTTGGAGACAGTCTCTCACTTTGCCACCCAGGTGACAAAGTGCAACGGCATGATCTCAGCTCACTGCAACCTCGACCTTCAAGATATTCACGTGACTGAGCCTCCCGAGTAGATGTGACTACAGGCGTGTGCTACCATGCCCAGGTAATTTTTTGTATATTTACTAGATGGGGTTTCACTATATTGCCCAGGCTTCTCTCAAACTTCTGGCCTCAAGTGATCTACCTGCCTTGGTCTCCCAAAGTGCTGGGATTACAGGTGTGAGCCAGTGTGCCCAAACGTCTTTCTTTAAAATCTATTTTTAAAAAATAGACATAAGACCTCGCTATATTACCCAGGCTGGTCTCAAATTCCTAAGCTCAAGCAATCCTCCCTCCTCAGCCTCTTAAAGTGCTGAGATTACAGGTGTGAGCCACCATGCCCACCCCCTTGTAACTTCTTAATACTAGTGATTTGGTGCAAAATCCTAACCAGACTTCCATGATAAATGACTCTAGATTAGTTAAGAGTGTTACTGTTTCAGCTTAGTTGACCTAGGGTGGAAAGACACATTAAAATCATCTCTATCACCTGGTGTGTATTTAAATTTTTAATAGCAAAGCTACTGTCACTTACTGGTATGTCCATGTCTGGACCAATGTCCATTTCTTCACCTTCCACCAAGTATTTTCCCGAATCAAAATCATCTGTCTTTTCTAAAATGTGACAGAAAAACTTCATCAGCTTTATTATATCTATCTTTGAAAAAAATCTCAAAACTAAAGGAAAAAAGACTAACAAGACTCAAAATACAATCAGATAAAAATTTAAAAATATTGAAACATTTATTAAATTGATATTCTAGAACATTTATCATTTTAATTAACTCATTCTCAAAGGTGAGTGTTCTCTTTCTCCTATGGTTTTCGGCCTTCCTTCATAATGGAAGGAGATGCTACTTTTCAGTTAGAGATTAACACAATTTTTTCATCACCCAAATTAACAAATATCTGAATTATAAAAATCCCTATCATATATTATACTGTGATTAACTTTTGTCTCTTTCTTAAAGACAGAGGCTATAACTTACTCATTTTTGAATGTCTAGGGCCTAGAATTCTAAATGGCCACAATCTTAAAAAATGTAAACATGAACTATTCATTTTTCTGAAGGTTTAAAGCATCATAACATTAGAGCATAGCCTATGCGACTAATGTATATGTATATAGCATAGCCTATGCAAAAAACGTTTTGCCTTTTTTATTATCACAGCCAGCAATCTGTACTTAAAAGAAAATTTCACTACTGAAAACCACATCTGATTCTATTCCAGTAAATGGCTGAATAGAACACCACTTTACCTATAATTCAGGTATAGGTAACACAGTGCTCCATTTTATGACAGTAAATAGTAACCTCTAATGTCTCTCCCAGCTCTAAAATGACGAACATCTGCCTACTGTCATTTAGAAATATTAATAGAAAAATAACTTGGGATTCAGCATTTATGTTTCTGTATTGTATAACCTATTTCACACATTGTATATTTTTGTAAGTTACAGTTAAGAATTCAGTTTATTACTTCGAAAAGTTGGCACGTTTTAAAAGAATCTGAAAGCCCTGTATTCCTATTATAAACCAACTAACTAGACACTTTACGGGCTATGATCATTAAGGTAACTAAGATCACAGGTTTTGAAAACCTAATCATTATTCAAGATTTTTACTGAAATTAAACAGGTAGAAAATTAACATTCTTTTACTAACAACTTCATTATGAATAACGAAATAATGTATTGTTTAATTTACATCTCCCATAAAGAAAAATAGGGGATCTCACTCCACCTAAATATCTAAACTCTGTAAGTCTTTAAAAATTAGTTACAAGAGGCCGGGCGTGGTGCTCACCCTTGTAATCCCATCACTTTGGGAGGCCAAGGGGGGCAGATCACGAGGTCAGGAGATTGAGACCATCCTGGCTAACACGGTGAAATCTCGTGTCTACTAAAAGAAAATACACACACACACACACACACCAATTAACCAAGCGTGGTGGCACGCGCCTTGGGGAGGCTGAGGCAGGAGAATCGCTTGAACCTGGGAGGAAGAGGTTGCAGAGAGCCGTCATCACGCCACTGCATTCCAGCCTGGGTGCCAGAGCGAGACTCCTTCTCAAAAACGAAACAAAGCAAAACCCAACCAACCAAACAATAAATTAGTTACAAGAGAAACCGCATTAGGAATTGTATTAGGTGACTTACCGTGCTACCTGCTGTGCAGGGATGCAGCATTCTAGCTGGAGTGGAAGGAGAGGAGACAGTATTGACAGGTTAAATCAGTGTCCTGACATGCGTTTTGGGAAAAGAAAAGCAGAGTGAGAGGGAAATTGTAGTGGCTGACCAGGGAGCAGGAATCAGTGAGAATACAATCTCTTCACTTAAAAAGAAAAAATTATATAGAGATGGAGTTGCTAAGTGGCCCGGGCTGGCCTTGAGTAATGCCTGGGCCTCCCAGAGCCCTGGGGTTGCAGGCGCGCGCCCTGGCCCGCAAGAACCCTGTTCCACGCTTTCCCCGAGAGCCTGGTCAGCGCTGAGCGGGCGGCGGCCTGCGAAGGCTCCCCGAGGCCTCCTCTGCCTCAGACCTGCGCCCCGCCACAGCGCGTCCTGTTCCAGGGATCCCGCGCCCTGACGCCCCGCGACCCTCCGCCCTGCCCCGCGATCCCCCAGCCCTACGCTGCGACCCCCCCGCCCCGAGATCCCCCAGCCCCAAGCCGCGACCCGCCGCCCCGCCCCGCGATACCCCCGCCCCGCGCTGCAACCCACCCGCCCGCGCCGCGACCCCACGCGCAGCCCTGCACAGCGCCGCCCCGCGATCCCCCGCCCCTTAAGTTGGACCAGGCGAAGTTTAAGGCGAGCTGGAAGTTGGGGTCTGTCTCATTCTGGAGGCCGGCGACACTCCAGACAAGCTCCGGCAAGTCGCGCTCCTGCTGCGGGTCCAGCCGGCTTCAAGGCTGCCCCTGCGGACTGTGCTCCGCGCTCCTGCAGCGCGTCTGGCGGCTGTTCGCGCGAGAATTCGGGGCTCCCGCGACAGTCGCTTTCTGATCTGCCGGTTTTTTCGCCATAGTTCGAGCTCTCCTGCCGGGCAACTGGCGAACTGGCAGTTATTCTCACGACAGTTCAACCTCCCGCTGTGGCGGGTACTGCCTGGCGCTGTCCCTTGGCAGGGGCTGGAGTGTGCATTTTCTGGTCAGTGGGTACCTTTACCGGGGCGCGGTTTAGGGGTGCGGGGACCTGGAGCCCCGGGCGGGAGCTGGGGACGCTGGGGCCAGAGCGATCCCGGAGGTTGCACCGCCGGGCGGGGGGGCCGGGCGCTCAGTCCCTGCCCCGCCGCCCTGGCTGGCCCAGGTTCCAAGGGCTACCCGGACCCCACGGAGGCTGCAGGGCGGACGCGGGCGCACGCGGTTCCTCACCTGGGTCCACGGCGGGGTCCCGGCGGGCCCGGACGTTTCCTTGGCCGAGTGAGTCAGTAGAGCGGGCAGGGAATGCGCCAGGAAACGCTTGGCCACCTCTCCTTCCTCCCGGGGCGGGGGCTCTCGCGGCCCGGCCTCTTCCTACCAGCGCTCCTCCCTCCTGGCCCCGGCCCCTCCTCACCCCGCTCCGGCCTCTGCCGCTCCCTCCTCCTGCGGGGCTTATCCCTGGGTGGCCCGCCGCTGCCTCCACCAACATCTTATATGGAAATATTATCTTATCTTTTCTCTCTTGAAATTTGCATTAGTTATTACTCATTTTATGCATTTTCATTATATTAACAGCATTTTTAGTTAGAAAAAATAATTCTGTCTAAAAATTCTGTTCTAACATTTACTTGATTTCAAAGTACTGTTGCCTTTTATTTTCCTTATTATTCATTTTGTTTTATATTGTTTCCACACATAATAAACAATTGATCTTCACAGTAGTAATTTTTCTGGCAGTTTGTCTAGAGACAACTTAAAATTAGCTTCTTTCCTCCACAAAAGAGAGTTTCAATTTACTATTACCATGCAAAGTCTGAATTTTGTATCTATTTTAAGTTCAAACTTGATTAGTAACTTCAGAGTTAAGTAAAAAAAAAAACCATAATTTAAATGCAAGATGACCAGCATTAAAAACAAGTGGAAGTTAAAGGGCTCACTATTATGTATTCCTTTCCTGATCTGGAATATCTCCTGGATAGCTTTTGTAGTGTCATCATGGGCAGACTTGGCTTTTGTGCTGCGTTGTTTTAGTGAATGTCAGCTGCAGACATTGACTAAAAGGCACAAAAAGAAAACTTACGGAAAATGAACATTATTTTAATACCACTTGGAGATAGGACTATCTTCTTAGTGTTAAGAGGTCGTTAATGCCTCAGAGAAGTTTGATTGTCTATTTCTTTCCTTTTTTTTTTATTTTTTTTTTTTTTTGAGTCGGAGTTTCGCTCTTGTTACCCAGGCTGGAGTGCAATGGCGCAATCTCGGCTCACCACAACCTTCGCCTCCAGGGTTCAGGCAATTCTCCTGCCTTAGCCTCCTGAGTAGCTGGGATTACAGGCACGCGCCACCATGCCCAGCTAATTTTTTGTATTTTTGGTAGAGACGGGGTTTCACCATTTTGACCATGATGGTCTCGATCTCTTGACCTCGTGATCCACCCGCCTCGGCCTCCCAAAGTGCTGGGATTACAGGCGTGAGCCACCGCGCCCGGCCGATTGTCTATTTCTTTAAAACGATGTTTTCTGAAGATATAATACCTTAAGTTAGAGATTTTGGTTGAATATTCCCTAAATCAGACATAGATTTTTCTATTGTGATTAATGATCCATATTTATGTGTTAACATTTCCTAGGAACAGTGAATTATATAAGATCTCGTCCTCTTCTTTTTGGATTGTATACTGAATTCTGCTGGATTCACTGACAAGAAGAGTTTGAATTAGCAGAGCCCTGAGAATGGAGACACCTTTAGAAGAGACTGATGAAGAAAGTACAGGAGGAGTTTCATCTTTGGAAATAGAAATTTTCCTTGACCGCAGAACCCAACCAAGCTTTCCTTTTAGCATTATCTTGTCAACTCTTCTCTACTGTGGTGAGATGGCCTCCGCTTTGTATATGTTTGTTATTTATAAGAAAGGTAACGACATATACTGGATGTCATTTACCATCAGCCTTATTATTACGGGGGCAGTTTTTGATCAAATTACCCTGTTTTTTTTCAACAAAGACTTGAAGAGAGAGAAGGTTGTGTCACTTTTTTGGCACATTCTTCTTTTAGGACCTATAGCAAGGTAAGTGACACAAATATTTCTCATTCAGGGTTTCCAATGAGTAAATTGAATATAAATAGTTGGCTAACAAGATTAAGGATGTCATAATTAATGTTTCTCTAATGGAAATGCTTCCTTATTTAGTTTTATTTTGTTTTCACAGTTTTGAAAGTGTTACTGTGTGATTGTCATTGATTGTAGGATAATAGTAATTTTATAAAATGCAAATGGAAATAAGTCAGTCATTTCTTCTGTTCTTTTTATGCACATACTGTATACCAGTCTTTTTTTAAATTTTTCTCATTCAGCCTAATGGGTATTTTAAATAGTTATGGGCGATAAACATGTAACCCTAAATTAAGAAAGAAGAGTAGCATAAGAAGAGAGAAAGCCTTGAAAATAGTCTCATAAACTTTGTCAACTGAAGGGATTAAACTTTTTAATGGTAGATTTTCTAGACATCCTTGAATTTGTAGCTGTCACTTGGAATATCAAAATATAGCTATGCAATTTATTTCCACATCACTTTTGTTTGTTACTTCACTGATTTGTGTTAATACTATAAATTTTGTAAGATCTAATTTGAGCCAGGTCTGTATTTATAGTTCAAAGATACTAACATGTACACACAATTATATACATTTTATAGAATTTGGAGTCACTGGGGATAAGTGTTACCCTTTATTAAAAAGGTAAAATACAAAATTAGCTGGAAATAGTGGTATGTGCCTGTAATACCAGCACTTCGGGAGGCCAAGGTATATGGATCATGAGGTCAGGAGTTTGAGACCAGCCTGGCCAAGATGGTGCAACCCCATCTCTACTACACATACAAAAGTTAGCTGGGAATGATGTCAGGTGCCTTTAATGATAACTCAGCTACTCAAGAGGCTGAGGCAGAGAATTCCTTGATCTCAGGAGGAAAAGAGATCAGTGAGCCAAAATTATGCCACTGCATTCTAGCCAGGGCAACAGAGTGAGACTCTGTATATATTTATACTCTGAATATATTTATTTATATATATTTATTCTGTAAATGCACAAAATGCAGAGTGGTTTACAAACATATGCAAAAATTTTGTATGGGTCAGAATATAAATACATTAGTAAAAGACTGGGATATTTTTTAATCAAAGTGATTTTGAAAAAGTGAATTGACGTGTATGAATGAAAGAATCTTTACGTTTTACTTTTTAATCTGTTGTTTGGATCCTTTTATCAGGCTGAAGTTGCATATTATTTCAAATTGAAAATAAGGGGAAGAACTAAAATAAATGATAAGATTAGAAACTGTTAGAAAGTTATGTTTTATTCAGTGTGATTAAGTTAATGTGTGTAATTTAATGGTTTATTTCAAAATTAAGCGTTCATCTACTGATAATCTTTCAAATATTTCTACACATTTGTTGCCAGAAAATGTTAATCTTGGATGTTACTTCATATTAACAGGTGTTTGCAGACCACTATACACTACCACAAATTATTGAAATATCTTACACTGGAGGCAGAAGAGAGTCGAGGTAGCAAACCAGAGAGAAACAAGATACTGCATAGGAAGATTGTTTACTCAAGCCAGTATATTTTAAGGCAGGACAATGCATTCAAATGCATGACAGTTGTTCAGGCTTTTGTTTCTTCTGTTCCACAATTAATTTTTCAGATATATGTCACTCTCACTATACAAGAATTGCCTTCAGGTAGAGGTAAGTTGAGTTATTTGACGCTGAAAATCAGGTAAACAAAGGTTGGGAGGGCATAATAATATAAAAGAAATTGGTAAGTTAAAATATTTAATCTGAAATTACAGATGCACTAAATTTTTTATAAGATCAAATTTCTATGAATTTATTTGGTTAGCAGTGTGTAAAAGGATGCCACTGGAACCTATGGAATTTAGTATGCATAGAAATTAGCATCAATTTATTTTATTGACCCCGAAGAGGTAAATTAAGCTTGATATAATATTGAGATATGAGGTGGTGGAATAAGTTGTTATCTAAAACATATATTTATTATAATTTGCCTTTTGTAAATAGCATTGATTTTAATTGAAATGGAAACTGCTTGAAAATTAGAATGTGCCTAAGACTATAAAATTTTATAAAAGTCACCAGGCAAATAGTTCTGTATCTTTTATATTAAATTTTTACCTTAGATACGGGGAATTCATATGCAGGGTTGTTACATGGAAATATTGGGAAATGCTATGGTTTGGAGTGTGGATCTCATCACCCAAACTAGTAAGCCTAGTACCCGAAAGGTAGGTTTTTTTTTTTAGCCCATTTTGTCCTTCCCTGCACCCACTATTGGTTCAGTGTCTGTTATTCCTGTGCTTATGTTCATGTGTGCTGAATATTCATGTGTGCTTATGAGTGAAAAAAATGCAGTATTTGGCTTTCTCTTCTGCGTTGATTTGCTTAGGATAATGACCTCCACCTGCATTTACGTTGCTAAAAATGACAACATTTATTTCTTTTGAATTGCTGTGGAATATTCCACATGCACATACATGGAATACTAGACAACCATACAAAATAAATCAATCGTTTACTTTACCTGATGTGCCACTGGTGGTCACCTGGGATTCCATGTCTTTGCCATCATGAATAGTACAGAAATGAACATATGACTGCATGTGTCTTGGTAGTAGAATCATTGATATTCCTTTGGGTATATGCCTAGGGATGGGATTGGTGGGTTGAAATAGTAGCTCTGTTTTATGTTCTTTGAGAAACTTCCAGACTGCTTTCCACAATGGCTGATCTAACTTATACTCCTACCAGCAAAATATAACATTTTCTCAGCATCCTCACCCAGCATGTGTTGTTTTTTGATTTTTTAATAGTAGCCATTTTTGCTGGTGTGGGATAGTAACTTATTGTGGTTTTGATTTTCATTTCTATGATAATTACTGATGCTAAATTTTGTGTTTTGTTTGTCTGTCTTAGATGGAGTTTCATTCTTGTTGCCCAGGATCTAGTAAAATAGCATGCTTTTGGCTTACTGCAACCTCTACTTCCCTGATTCAAGTGATTCCCCTGCCTCACACTCCCAAGTAGCTGGACTTACAGGCATGTGCCACTATGCCCAGGCTGTATTTGTTTAGCTATATTGGTCAGGCTGGGCTCGAACTTCTGACTGTACCCAGTCTGGGTGGCTCATGCTTGTAATCCCGTCACATTGGGTGGCTGAGGTGGGTGAGCATTTTCAATATGCTTGTTGGCCACTTGTATGTCTTCTTTTGAGAAGTATCTGTTCATTTTCTTTTTACCTATTTTCTAACAGAGTTATTGGTTTTGTGCTTGTTAATTTGTTTAAGTTTATTAGATTCTGGATCTGAAGCCTTTGTTGGACGCATAGTTTGCAAATATCTTCTCCCATTGAGTAGGTTGTATGATTGCTCCATCGACAGTTTCCTTTGCTGTGCAGAAATTCTTTAGTTTAATTAGGTCCCTATTTCCTATTTTTCTTTTTGTTCCAAAGTTGCTTTGGGGCATTTAGTCAAAAAATGTTTGCTGCTCTCAGTGTCCAAAAGAATACTTCCCTATGTTATCTTCCACGATTTTTATAGTTTGAGGTGTTACATTTAAATCTTTAATTCATTTCACTTTGAGTTAATTTTTGTATATTGTGAAAGGTAGGGGTCCAGCTTAAATCTTCTACATATGGCTAGCCAGTTATCCTAGAACCGTTTATTGAAAAGAGAAGGCTTTCCCCATTGCCTGTTTCACTGGCTTGTCTAAGATTAGATAGTTGTAGGGGTGTGGCTTTATACCTGTGTTTTCTGACCTCTTTTCTTGGTTTCTGTGTCTGATTTCGTACCAGTGCCAAGTTGTTTTTGCTACTGCAGCTTTTTAGTGTAGTTTGAAGTCAGGTAGTGTAACATCACTGGCTCTGCTGCTTTTCTTTATGATTGCTTTGACTAATTTGGCTCTTTGTTGTTGTTGTGCCACATGAAATTTAAAATAGTGTTTTCCTAATTTTGTGAAGAATGGTATTGGCAGTTTGTTAAGGATAGCACTGAATAATTTGAGCTTCTGCCCATTCAGTATGATATAGGCTGTGGGTTTGTTGTAAAAGACTCTTAGTATTTTGAGTACATTATTTTTATGCTTAGTCTGTTGAGTTTGTCATGACGAGATGTTTGATTTTATCGAAGATTTTTTTTATTTTGGTTTTTGCTTTTGATTCGATATATGCAGTGATCACATTTATTGATTTATATATGTTGAACCAGCTTTGCATTCCAGGAATAAAGCCTACTTTGATTGTGTTGTGCTAGCTTTTTGATTCACTGGGGAGTCTAGTTGACTGATACTTTGTTGAGTATCTGTGTTCATGAAGGATATTGGCCAGAAGTGTTTGTTGTTGTTGTTTTTGTTGTGGTGGTGGTGGTGTCTCTGCCAGTTTTTGGTATCAAGCTAACACTGGCCTTATACAATGAGATGAAAAAAAAAGACCTCCTCCTCAATTTTTCAGAATAACTTTAGCAGCATTTTATGAGTTCTTTGTACACCTGGCAGAATTTGGCTATGAACCCGTCCGCTTTAGATTTTTTTTTTTAAATTATTGGTAGGTTCTTTATTACCTAAACAATTTCAGGCATAGATTTTGGCCTATTCACAGTTTTAACATCTTCTTGATTTAGTCTTGGGAGATTGTCTGCCTCCGGGAATTTATCTGTTTCCTCTAGATTTTCTAATTTGTATCCATAGAGTTATTCATAGTAGTCTCTGAGGATCTTTTGTATTTCTGTGGGATCAGTCAAAATACTGCCTGTGTGGTTTTGATTGTGCTTCTTTGGATCTTCTCTTTCTTTCCTTTTTCTCTCTTTTTTTGAGACAGAGTTTTTCCTCTGTCACCTGGGATACAGTGCAGTGGCATGATCTTGGATCACTGACACCTTCAGCTCCCAGGTTCAAGCAATTCTCATGCCTCGGCCTACTAAATAGCTAGTAATACAAGCATGCACCACTATGCCTGGCTATTTTATTTTAGTTTTTTAGTAAAGACAAGATTTTACTGTGTTGGCCAGGCTGGTCTCAAATTCCTGACCTCTAGTGATCCCCCCAACCCAACCTCCCAAAATATTGATATTACAAAAGTGAGCCACCATGCCCAGCCCCCTGTTTTTTCTTTGTTAATTTAGGTAGCAGTCTACCAATCTTATTTATTTATTTATTTTCAAGGGCTAAAATCTTGGTTTTGTTTAAGTAATCTTTTATATGGATTTTTGCATCTCAATTTCATTAAGTTTTTCTTTAGTTTTAGTTATTTTCTTCTGCTAATTGGGAATTGTTTTCCTCTCTCAGTTCTTTTAGGTGCAGTTTGATTGTTAATTTGAGATTTTTCTAGCTTCTTGATGAAGGTTTTTTAGGGTTGTAAACTTTCTACTTAACCCTGCTTTGGCTGCATCCCAGAGATTTGGGAAAGTGTTTTCTATTTTCATTTATTTTCAATTATCTTAAATTCTGCCTAAATTTTGATGTTTACCTAGGAGTTATTCAGGTGTAAGTTGTATGATTTCCATGTAATTGTGTATTTTGAGAGATTTTTTTGGTATTCTATTTTTATTGCAGCATGGTCCAAGATTGTGCTTTATGTAATTTCAGTTTCTTTTGAATTTACTGAGGCTTGCCTTATGACTGAGATGAGCTGATAGTCAGTCTTAGCCTATCTTCTATGTGCAGATGAGAAGAATGTCTATTCTCTGTTTCTTGGGTGGAGTGTTCATTCTGTAGATGTCTGTTAAGTCCAGTTTGTCAAGGGCTGAGTTTAAGTTCAGTATTTCTTTGTTAGTCTTTTTGTAGGAGAAGTACTTGTTCCACAAATCAGGGTACTCCATGTTGGATGTATATATATTTAGGATGGTGGTGGATTGCAACCGTTATTATTATGTAATAACCTTCATTGTCCTTCTCAATTTTCTTTGGTTTAACATCTGCTTTCCTGCTTTTCTTGTTTTTCATTTGCATGGTGGCTCTTACCTAGCTCTTTTACTTTTCGGCTATGGGTATCACTGGATGTGAGATAGGTATCTTGAAGACACTACATGGTTGAGTTTCTTTTTATTCAGCCTGCCACTTTGTATAATTCCAGGTTAGTATTCATATGTGTGATTTTGATCCTGTCATTGTGTTGTTAGCTGGTTGTTAGGTGGACTTGCTTTCCTAGCTGCTTTATAACGCATGTTGGCTATGTACTTAAGTATGCTTTTGTGGAAGCAGGTATCATACTTTAAAATTCACATTCAGTATTCCCTTGAGGATGTCTTGAATGCCTAATCTAATTGAAGTGTGGATCCTTAGCATTTTCTTGTAGAAGAAAAATTTTATGTCTTCTGTACTTAGTTTGGTGGGATATAAAATTTCTTGTTTGGAATGTTTTAAAAGAATGTTGAAAATAAACTCATATCACTTCTGTATTGTAAGTTTTCTGCTGAAGATCTGCTGTCATCCTGATAGTGTTCTCTCTGTAGGTGACCTGACAATTCTCCCTAGCTGCTTTTACATTTTCATTTTTGGTTTTTGTTAGTTTTCTTGTTTGTTTGTTTGTTTTTTCATTGACCTTAATGAATCTGATGGTTATGTGCCTTGGGAATAATATTACGTAGCATTTGGCTATGGTTCTGTATTTTTCAGGTTTGGATGTCGACCTCTCTAGTGTGATGAAAAAGACTTTCATGACTGTCTCCTCAAATATATTTTTTTCAAGTGGTTTATTATCTCTCTTTTCCTTGGTCTGTTCTGCTTCCAGTTGCATGTTGGTCTATAACACTTCCAGTTGCATGTTGATGTTCTTACAGTGCAGTTTTCAGCTGAAGAAGTCAATTTTTGGTCTTTAAGTGTCTAGTTCATCTTTGAGCTCTTGGATTTCTTTTTTGCATTGGTTGGCTTCCTTGGATTCTTTCAATTTTCTCTTCAATTTAGATGAGATTTTTTGCCATCCAGATTCAGAATTCCCATGTCTGTCATTTGAGACCATTGAAGTTGGTTGCTGGGGAGCTACTGGTCTGATGTGGTGCTAAAAGAGATTCTTGTGTTTAGAACTGTCATCATTCTTGCACTGGTTCTTTCTCATCTGAGATGGCTGGTGTGCTTTTAACTGTGATTCAAATTGAGTATCATAATTTGGCTTAATTTCTGGAAGTTTTGAGATGGCAAAAACTCTGTACAGTGACATTGTTTCTAAATTCTTGTCTGTGGTTTTACACAGGATGGGGGCAGAATTAGTAAAGTGACTTTTTGTGTTGTAATTTGGGCTAAAATCTAGGAGATGGTGCTGGAGAATAATGAGCAATAGATGGCCTAATATTCAACCGTAGAGTTTCTTTTTGTATTCTGACATTTATTCCTGTATTTTACTGGACTAGGGACAGAGAGGCAAACCCCTGACTGGATCTGCTTATTCGCCTTGGGGAGGCCACCTGCAATCACTGACACTGTGTTCAGAAGTTTTTATTTTTATTTTTATTTATTTATTTATTTTGTTAAGTCTTTCCCATGGTGGGGCTCTCTTAAGCAGAAGTCTGGTAGGCCAAGGTTTTACCAAACCAGCCCTGTAGCTTAGGGCCCCCTAAAGCCACACTCCCACCACCTGATTTACTGCCTTGGTCTCCTGAGTAGCTGGGATTATAGGCATGTACCACCATACCCAGCTAATTTCAACTTTCACTAGAGACGGTTTCTCCCTGTTGGTCAGGCTGGTCTCAAACTCCCAACCTCAGGTGATCTGTCTGCATCAGTTTCCCAAAGTGCCAAGATTACAGGCACGAACCACTGTGCCTGCCCACTAAGGTGAGATTTTTCTAACTTCTTGATGAAGGCATTTCAGGGCTATAAACTTTCCACTTAAACCTGCTTTGGCTGCATCCCTGAGATGTGGGAAAGTTTTTTCTATTTTCATTTATTTCAAAGAATTATTTTAATTTCTGCCTTAATTTTGATGTTCACCTAGGAGTGAGTTAGGTGTAAGTTGTTTGATTTCCA